AGAAAATGAATCAAATCAAAATAGTGTCTCCCTTTAAAAAAAGAAATTTCAATAGAAGAACTTGATGAAATACTAAGAAGTCTTTTTAGCAAAAAGATATCTGATCCATTACAGATTAGTTATAAGATGCTAAAGAATTTGGAATCAAAAGAGAAAGCTATATTGATATAGCTTTTTAATATAATTTTTCAAAATAATCAAATACCTAAGAAATAAAAAAGCAATAATATATATTTGATACCCAAGCCTAAACTATGGCACTATGAGCCTGAAAATACTAGATCAATTGTGTTACTAAAAAAAGTGAAACTTTGCTTTACCAAAATAGTGAATAGATGCTTGGCAACTATTTTTACAAAGTATAATATCTTGCAAAGATCAAACTTTGCTAATCTATAAAAAGAGAGCATTGCTGATTCTATTCAACTTCTAAATAGTATATATAAAGAGGCTAGAAAAAAAAAAGAACTATGGATTCTCTTTCAAGATACAACCAAAGTCTATAACACAATTAGTTTTGAAATATTAGAAAAGACAATATTGAGAATTCAGATTCCACTAGTAATAAAACAACTGCTCATCAATTTTTTTAAGAATAGAGAATACCATATTATTCTTTCTACTGAACTTTCTAATTCATTTATAGCAAGAAATGGTATTGATTAAGGAAAAACAATATCTCTTTTACTTTGGAAAATTTTTTATAATCCATTGTTCTACAAAATTCAAAGTAAACAGAATTATAGATATATTATAAAAGAAGAGTGGATATCCAACTTTCAGATACTAGAAATAAAGAAGAAACCATCTACAGTATTAGACAAGCAGTTATTATATGCATGAATTATATAACCTGGATAGTTAGATTTAAACAAGATATGAAGAATATTTTAAAAGAGACCAAAAAATTCTACATAACAAATGATTCATATATTAATAGTGAAACGTTAATTTTTGCTTACAATAAATTGGAATTAGCTAGAATCTGGGATAGTTTATATTGATACTAACAAGACAGAAGTCAAAAAAATGAGTAAAGAAAATTAAGCATGATTCCTGGAAATTTGATTTGAAAGAAGACACAATAACAAGAATACAATTAATTTGTTGAAGATTGAGAGTAGATCTATAAATCTGGTAATTAATAAAAAAGTTATAACTGAAAAATATATTAGATATATTATTAATAGAGTTTTGATTCCTCAAATAGAATACCATACATAGCACATATACAGTATATTGGAGAAAAAATATTAATAAGCTTATAGTAATATATAAGAAAACTTTCAAAAATAAAGTACTTATGTTTAATACAATACCAAATAGTTATATTTATAATAAGAAGATATTAAGTCTCAAAAGTATATGGGAAATTCAACTTAAAAGTCATATAACCTCTCATTTCTGCCAGTTGAACAATCCAAAAAATCCAGGATAGCAATACTTATTTGTCTTAAATAGAATCAACTGAAACACTGAAAATCTAGAAATATCTTAAAACATTCAATAGAAGCTGCTTTATCTAAAAAAGGTAATTTTGCTACTATCACTTTAATCCTGGCCAACAATCTTTAAATCATATATCAAAGTTAAAGATAAAAAGATCTTTTTCAAGTCCAGAATGATTTACTTTCTATTAAGTCAATTCTTAAGAAATGTGATTATAAAAAGTCCATAGTATTACTTAAAAAATACAATATAATGTTTCTGGATCTATTAATTAATTCAACTACAAAAATAATTAGTGAATAGAGAGCAGTTCAAATATTTTTTGGAAATAGAAAAGGTCATATTTCTAGATGGTATAAGCAAGTTGTTTCTTAGATCACAGAAAAATAGGACTTGTTCAAAAGTTCACTTAGAAATTTAGAATGATACAATTACGAAATTCAAACAGAACAACTGTTGAATACATTAGACAAAAGAAAGATTTACTGGGAAAGTATTATCAATTTTTCAAGAGGTATGATAGAAAAAGTTAAGAAAGCTCAAGAAAATATAATTTTCACTCCATATAAGTTTAGTTATAATCATATTGATAATTTGATCTTATGTTATCCAAATCTATTTAAGTAGATAACAATAGTTTTATCTTTAGATACATATTTTCTGCTTCAACTCAATAAGACTAAAAGTATGCAAATAAGAAAATTACTATTGCTTTCTGACAATCCAATAGATTAGATACCTAATAACTCAAAACAATATAGACTTGACATTTGGGATATAGTAACAATATATAAAGAAGTAATAATAAAGAACTGATATATTTCATTAATAAAGTAAACTATTTGCTCAAAAGAACATATTAGAGAACTAATTGATGCTTTTGGATTTAATTAAAACAATAGACTTAAAAGCTTTACTTTCTATATTGATAAATTCTTTAAAAAGAAATAGGAAATATTGAAATAGAGTGTTAGATTGGTTTTGCTTGAATTTAAACTTATGACAATATTATTGTTAACCAATTTTTAATAAGAGAATTGCTATAACATTTAACAACAAGAGCAAAAATACTAATAATATTGATGATACTCTACATTCTATCTCAAGATGTTAATATTACTATCTTTATAGACTGTAATGTAACTATTAAAATATGAAATACCATATAGTCATAACTACTTATATTATTAAAAAAATAGACTAAAATAGTTAACTGGCCACTTTTGACAAGTATCCAAAATCTGATTAAGAAAAAAGTCTTACCTTAATACTAGAAAAAGTCTATGTACATAAAGAAAACTATTTCAACAATATGACAGATACATTAGTAAAATTAGTTTGAAAAGAAAATCCAAAAGAATAATAGCATACATCAGAAATAAATGTATTCTTCTTTATAGCTATATAAAAAGGTTTGGCCATTGATATTGATACTTGGGAATTCATTAAATAATGGAATCAAAGAAAGATTGATCTTGACTGAAAAAATCAAAGATGAATCTGAAATCAATAGCGTAAAGAGAAAACTGAAATAAATTGGATAATCTTTTTAAACTAGTTTATATATACTATTTATTTAATATATCCTTCAAAAACAATGAGAACAAAAGTTTTTTGATAAATCTCACTTATAACGAGCTAGAAGTTTATAAAATAACTATTAATATTGAATAAGGAACTCATAAAAAAATAACTGATCATCAGTTCTTGTATTTAACAATGAGTTTTGAAAAACTGGATATCTGAAAAAAAACAAGTAGAAAGTTAGTCCAATATATTATTGATCAAGTAGAGGTCAAGAATGAGAACCAAGAAGCTATTTATCAAGTAGTCTATATATAGATCAATAGGATACAATAATAGGAATAGAGTCTTTTTAAAATAATATATATATATATATAAAATAGGAGATATTAAAAACTTTCTCAAACTATATTTCAAAATAAAATCACTTATTACAAGGAAAGCCCTAGGAAAATTGTGTTAATGAATATGAAAAATTTTTTAAAAAAAGATCTGAAATAACTATTGTAAAGCAGTAATTGAGTGGAAAAAAACTTTAAATATTGATAGGAGATCTAGATGACATCAAATTCCAAAAAATAATTGTGATAATACAGAAAATCCAGAGGAAGAGAATTTTACTGAAAGAATAATTCAAAGGTATAAATATCAAGAAAATTATTGAAAGATAGATAGTAAAAGGAGGAAAGTGGTTAGATATTTGATTTGTTGTTTGAAATTTTGAATAATTCACAATGATGACCTGTAAATAATGAACTTGATAGTTAAAGAATAATCAAAATTATTAAGAGAGCAAAATATCATTCCCTAAGTTATATCTAGAGAAGTTAAACTTTTAAGATGTATGTGAAATCTTTTAAATTATATAAAATTTTTAAATACACAATAAAGATAAGCAGTGTTAGCCTGATATTAGGTCAAAAAAAAATTAACTTTGATGAAGATATTTTTAGCAATAACGGCATATTATATTAGCAGTAACTGGTAAATGAATCTTTTAGATAGGAATGTAATATACAGTATATACTGTATTTCAGATAAGAAATTTTTTAAAAAAATTTTTTTCTTATAACCTATTTAAAAAATTTTTTTCGCAACTTTAAAAATGCCAGTATAAAGCTTTATTTTAATTTGCTCATTGATCATTAGATCGGGGAACATAAGTAAGGAATCAAATTTTGCTCTAAAGACTTTTGCACCAAATGACAAAAAAAATTTTTTTTTATCGGTGTCTTTTATTAAATAAATACTGTATTCAGGAAATCACATGCGTAAGTAAATACACCAGCCAAACTAATTTACTGGCGCTATCAGTGTTTTTTATTAATTGAGCTAAGATAAATGAATTGAGTTTATGTATGTGATATAATTTTTTGTGGATTGTAAGCTTTAGAAGGTCAAAAGAAGTACATATCAAGTCGTCCTATATTTATCTAACAATTACAATAATATTGTAATTTTTTTTATTAGATCAATTGTTCAATAAAGCATGCTTATGACTCCATAACGGAAGAAAAAAGTTTGGTGTAACTAAAAAACTGCCTTAATTTCCTAATTATATGGTTTCGCACGCAATGAATTATCATTCTAGGAAAACTCTATTATTACTAATCATTTGGCATCTGTTGCAAATGCGAAATGATTAAAAAGTAAATTATTCTTAAAGCAAATACTGTATATATCCTAATTTTTCGCCATATATTTATCAATATATGAATTTTAAATTATACATTTTTTGTTTTGTACTAACTACTCAAAGTTTAAAAAAAAATAATAAACCCATAACAAGTAAAAAAAGAAAAAGTCTAAAAATACATTACATCATACAATTTCTTCATCCCTTCTTAAAGCCATATAGCCACCACTTCTCGATGTTGAAATGCTGCGCCTCTCAACAAAGGGAATATCGTAAAGTCCATACCAATCCACATTTTGCAACATCCCACCTTGACCTTGTGACCAAAAGTCGATACAGTTATTCCAGCATCCGAAATCGAACGGATTTCCATTGGAATAATTATATAGACCGCTGTTTCTCCGATTTGTGCCCTCTCGACCACCAAACATTCTCAAAAGTCCCGAGGCATGACCATGGTTACCACGCGGAGCATGATCGCCAAAGCCATCTACTCCGTCACCATTACTGTTATCGCCAACTTGAGCTGCTCCGCTTGCACCAGGCCCGGCAGCTAATGTGGCCATAATTTGTTCTCGCACATTTCCACCCGTACGATTTCCGAAATACGAGTACCGATGGAAATTTGCCATCTCATTGGTGGTTTTTGCCGAAGCAATTTGGAAGCTTTGCATGCATAATAATCCTATGGTCCAAGTGAGCTGCAGTCCAATCCAGATACATAGCACAGCTGTCCACGAATCATAATGAAAGAATCCACACAGGGTGCTGTTCAAAAGGCAGGTTTCTGATGGAGTTGGTGCGTACTCGGGTGCCGAGATCATGAAATCTACGGGGGGAATAATAACAAATTCATTCTGTAAGTACTCCTGCGTGTGTTGCCTTTGAAAATAAAACAACATGTTGCATACATTGAAAGCAAAGGTATTCAAAACTACAAATAGATACGATCATCATCACGAGGAACACCATAAATGGACGATGATTTCGTACTCCGATGCAGTTAAATATCCATGGACAATGACTAAATTGTAGGAAGGCTTTTATTAAATCATCCATCATAAGCCGAACGAATAATAATAACTCACTGATCAAATCGGGCCACGCATCTATCACATATTTTGCAGTGTTTAGAACGAAGCGGTTTCTTGATCTAATTGCAGATTCGATGTTAGCATCTTGGATGTTTAAATGTGAGCGAAGAAGGCAGTTGACCAACACCCCATATATAGACCATTATTTACCAGGCATGTGATGCAGAGGTGTCTGGCATCCAACATTCCTTTGTTAGCAAGGTCCGTTATAAGCTGAGTTGGAGCATGCGGAATTAGAAGAGAGATCACGAATCCCATGCACACATACCAAAAGTAAAAGTGCCACCTACCTTCTTTTGATCTTCTCGAGATCGTAATTTGGAAACAAAGCCGGGATCGGCCAACACAGCCGTATAGAATGAATACATTGCCACGAGATAAGAGGTTACGAATGTTATGTTTGCGATAAATAGATATGATGTCACTATGAAAATTTAAAGGGGTTAATAGGAGTCGACCAAGTCGCGAATTTCTTCTTCTTTTTTTTTTTTTTCTTAAAAAAAAAAAAAAAGGAGCACACATATAAAGCGTGAATACCAAGCAAAATTTTGTGCATCCAGGTGAGCCCGACCCAAAATGCGCTCGCTTGAAATAAACTTGTGAAATAAGGAGTTCTCATCATCGCGTCTGGCAACTGCGCCCTAATAAGGATCTTTACTATTAACATGTGACATACAATGAATTCACCGATGGCAAAAGGTAGGCCGATGAACCAGGGATAGCTCGCTAATGTTTGAAAAGCGGTAAAAAGAACAAAATATGGAATCAAATATATCATCGCGAGTGTTGTTTTCTGTGTCAATGACATGGATGATAAGTAGGTTTCAATAAAGGCTGCAAAGTTTTACCAGATGGTAAGGAGAGACGATGACGATACAATGTTAAATACCTTTTCAAACAGATAAGGTCTTCTCTTTCCGTCTTTTCTCCTTCCTGATTCGATCAATGCCTTCTCCAGTATTCTATCGGACTTCATTTCCCGGGAGAGATCGAAAGTCGTCTTTCCATTCTCTTCTTTGGCATTAATATCCGCACCGCCTTCTATCAGTTTTCTTATGCACAGTGAGTTTCCTTTGATGACAGCCCAATGCAAAGGTGTAAATTGCGCCGAGTCAACACTATTAGGGGACGCCCCAAGTCGGATGAACAGATCCACGCTCGTTGCATCACCCTGATAGGCTGCCCACATTAAGGGTGTATGTTGCAGAGTGTCCGGGATATCGATGTCCATATCTTGGTAGATCAGGTAAAGAATTAGCATGGAGTTGGAGGAATGCGTGGCGAGATGTAGTCCATTAAATCCTTGTGAATCTCGTATCTTGGGATCAGCTCCGTGATTGATCAGAAGTGTGACGACGGGCAAATGACCATTCCTAAATATTTTTTCATATAAATTCGTCCTTTGAGGTGAATTTGAAAGTATCATAATAATAATAATAATGACGATAATAACGGAAGCATGACAATAAAAATCAAGCACAATTTCATTTTGATTAAGCCGTTCGCTCCTTTAAACGCATGTAACTTTTTTTTTGACCTTCAAGGTTTCGGAAAAGCGAACTTTGCGTAGGACCAAGGAGTTATGGCAATGTCATGCGCGCACACACCTTGCCGCCCAATGTAACGGAGTGGCAACTAAGTCCCCACCCAAAGAGTCTACTTCCGCTCCATTGTCGATCAAAAGCTTTGCCACCTCAACGTGATTGTTAATGGCTGCCCAATGTAATGGGGTTGTATTTTGCGAATCTCGGTCGTTTGCCTTAGCTTGTCCACTTTCTAGCATGCACTTCACTATATGCAGATTCCCTTGTTGAGCTGCTTGGTGAAGCGTCATTACTATCGCGCAGCGTGTTAAAAAACAAACAATTCTTTGTAAGGGTCTATGTGACTTTGGTCCAAATCGAACCGACAAACTGCAAAGAACAAAAGCATCGCTGGTACCTGAAAAATTTTCGCCTTCTAATACGGTGGCGACTATGTTGTGCTTGTCGGGATTGACAGTGGTAACAGCAACGGTAGGTTTCGCTGCCGTTATGTTTAGCCCTGATCCGTTTGTCATTCCTGAGAAGTTTCTTCCGTCAACGATACGTTCCAAATCGTTGTCGTGAGTTCTTGTCGGAGACATTGGAGGATCGCAAATTCTCGGCTGCAAATCTGCAAATTAATTTTGTAAATTCTGTTGCATATTGTCATGTGATATTGAGCGTTACTCGAGCAGATAAAATCGGCCATCCGCTGACCAATTAAGCGTACGCAGATAACTATGGACAAGGCGCGACATGGGAGAACAATATAACGGTGCGGGTAAATTGTCCGTTTGATTTTTATGGATGTTAACCTCACACTCGCATTAGTCTGCTATAACAAAGAACCCAACATCGTTTGGTCTCGGAATTTATCTAATCTTTTTGTTGACAAAGTGCCCATGGGACAAGTGTTTGGGCTGTTTTTAGATCATTAGGTATTTAAAAGTCGATTAAAGCTCTGATTCGAAACGTGGATTAATTGATGATTCGATTAATTTAGAATCTCGATCAAATATTAACGGACAAAAACCACAAACCACCTTTCGCATTAAAAAAAAAGAAATATCGATTATTTTTTAAAAAATCAAGGAAGATCGATTCAAATTGGATTAATAATAAATAAATTTTGTTATGATGTAAATTCAGCTTCTTTTTTTTTTTCCCTCTGTCAGGATTAGCCTAGAAAAAAAAAAAAAAATTCTAGTTCTAATATACAACCCAATGCATCTACAGTATATTCTATCGTGATAATTAAAAAAAAGCTGTCCACGTCTTCACATGCAATATATTAATTAAATTGTGATTTATTATAATGGGAGGATCATGCGTTTTTAAGGATATTAAACAAAGATAAATAAATAAATAAAATTTTTTTAAACTCAACTGGAAACACACGATTATTGCACATGTACATGGTAGCCGCCAACTAATGGCGAATCTCTCGCCCAGTAAAATTATTATAGATTCCGTTCGCACTGATTAGATGATTATGTAATTCTCTTTTAAAAAATTTCTTACGTACGTACGCATGCATTAAGAAAAAGAAAAATTCTCAATTTGATTTAAACAATGATCGCTACAACTGATGCAATGACAAGGGATTGGTGCCTCGCGAGCTATACCGAGATGGTTATGAAAACAATCAAAAGGGTCCATCAATAACCCCACGAGATGCAACCAGGATTGCACTGCATTTTTACAACTTATCTCGGTTCATTATTGTCAGAAGATAAGCTTGAGAACTGCCAAATCAAAAAATCAAACTTGATTTTGTGCGCCAGCAGCATCGCAACAAGAAATGAAGTGGTAAGTTGTAGCCGTAACGAAACAAGTTGAGGTTGAGGTGATAATTAAAAAGGTGATGACTGACCAGTGTAGAAGACAGTCGCAGTGAAGTATCTACAGCATGATAATCATTCATGATCGCTATCGAAATTAACAAACATTGTTATCTCAAATAAGAATATCATCGTGAAAGTGATGCTGAACAGGAAAAATTTGTCAGAATGTCATTAAAGTCTGAAAACATGTGGGCCACGAAAAATTGGCTTGTGAGGAATGGAAAGGGAAGTAGATAAGATGAAACAGAAATAGAAATGTAAAGCATACAGTATGTAACTCATTTCTATTATATACTGGTACGGTAGGTAGATTGGTTTTCATGTTTACAACTGTCTAACGCTGCCTTTTTCCCATAATACTGTGTCAACTCCTCATATCAGTTTTGTAAATCGTTAATGAACATGTCGTTGAACGCATTTTCTAAAGAAGTTTACGCACAGTATTGCAAAATGATATCGATATACGCGCAATTAATGTCGCATGAGATTTATTTCCTTAAACAAACTAGCGATCTTTTGGTTATCAATACGTATATGGATAATTATTTTTGCTATAACCGAATTTTTATATTCTAGGCTGGTGAAATTTATTACTTAAGTTAATGATTATCCTAAAGACGCAAATAACGGCTTATTTGCAAATTACGTAATATGAGATTTTACTGTACAGACGGGTATCACCGCATTTAGGGCGATTTTTATAAGACCGAAAATTATCGATCACAATTTTTTTATTTTTACTACCTAAAAAAAATTATCATGTTGCAAGACCTTTTTTTTTTAATCACTTCTTTTACCTGTTCAGGCATATATCTATAAATTTACTAATTGTATCAAATGCAATATTATTCCATGCCATAGTAATCATCTCTTCTAAATCAAATTCATTAAGCAGCTTTCTATTCTTATTAATTCAAAATTTAACTTTCCTCCATACATTTTCAATTGGATTAATATCTAAAGATTAGGGTGGTCATTCTATGGACATAATTTCAAGTATAAATTTTAATTTTTTCACAAAATTACATTTGTGAATTGGTGTGTCATTTTCTTATAGTATTTTTCTATTAGAAGTTGGAATTATTGGATAAATAGTATCCAAAATAAGATTTCCATATTCTTCTCCATTCATACAAGATGAGATACAAACTAAATGGCATAAATCATATCCATTTATATATCCTCAAATTATAATTGACTTGTGATCATTTTTAATAGTTATTTGTATACAACTTGAATCTTAAAGTTTATCTTTATAATATTAAACCTGAATTTTTTTATATGAATCAATATTGATAAAAAATTTATTTACCTATAAAATTTGTTTCCAATCTTATTTGATCCAATTTTTGTATTATCTTACCTATTTTAATTATTTTATATAATTAATTTCACTTATTAAAGGTTTTTTATATGCAATATAAAATTTAATATTATTTTTCTTTAAGATTTTTATTAAAGTTTGTATAAATATAGTAGTTTGAGTTCTTTGTGAAATTTTGATAGTAAGAAAACATTTTGGCAATTTTTTTAATGACAAATTAGTCTTAATTTCTTACAAAATTCAATGTTCAAGATATTTATTGATAATCAATTTAGATTCACTATTTTTTCTTTTAAAATAATTAGTAAAATTGATCAATTTTCATTATTAAAAACAATTTTTAACTACTGTTACAGATCATTCAATTATTCAAGCAATTTTAGTAATAGACATTACTTCTTTTTTGAGTTTTTTTATAATATGACATTCTTCATTTATAAATTTTTTTTTGTAATCTATTTTCATATATAATATAAATTTTTATACTATTTCTTACTTAATTAATACTTTATTATTATAATAAAACTTTTATATATGTAAAAATTTTTTATAATCACCTTAATGCAATAATATCCATCTATAGTACATAAATAATAATTAATTTTTTATTAAAATTATATTTTATAATTAATATTATTTAATTAAAAATTAATTTAGGACTTTAAAAAATTTTTTTTTATTTTTTATACAATTTTTTAATTCATTAGTATGTTAATATAATTTTTATTAAACAAAACAACTTTTTACACTGATCCTCTGACCACACATAAAAAAGATGTTTACAAGAAGTTTTTATACTTCTATGCTAATAAAATCTTATCACTCTCCTTAAACCAACATGAAGAAGCTTCAAGAGTCATCAACTATTCTCTCCCTTCTTGTCTACTATTCTCTTCAAACAAAAACTTAACCTCTAGTGACCTTAAAGATCAAAGAAAAACCTTTTTTACCACTGACAAGAAAGTTTCAAAAGGCAAAAAAGCTAATATAACATTATCTTACACTGTAAAGAAATATCACAGAAGCCTGTAAATAATGAGAAACAACTTCCTCACTCTCTTGTTATAATGTTTACTTCTCATAGTGCCCATTCTTGATTTTTTCTGGAGGATTTTACCTATCTCAGCTTGATCCTGAATTTTGAGTAGCACAAAATTTCTTATAGCGTGATTGGACAGATAGAGCTCATATTAGTAAAAGAATATAAACAAGCTCTCATTGATTACTTTATGTGTCTGAATGTATTTCCTCAGCTCTATAAGAACCTGGAATCTACCATGAGTCATTGTGATAGTGCAGGTAAATATAGGACACTTTCCTATTTACATCATTGGTTCCTTCAAGAAAAAGTTCATCTGACTATGGTAAAGATCACAAGATACTATAACTGGGTTTTATGGTTGTAGTTACCCATTCCTGACCATTGAGTAGGTTCCTTCTTCAGCTCTGTCAAATAAATAAAGATTCGAAATAAAGTTCCTGCAATAAAGTTGGGTTTTATGGTAGGTAAAACATAAGGGGATCAAATTTTTTTTTTAGGATGACATGTCTCACTTGAGCACATTAGTTAGAAGAAATCTAGAAGGATCAATGAATCTTCTTTCTTGGTATGTGAATTAGATTAATTTAAGTAATTCTCCTGATAACAAGCCATCTCGTGAATTGAAGTGATTAGAATTTCACAATATGAAGATACTGAAAGTAGCTGAGAAACAGATAGTATACCCTCAACTGATGAAGCCCTTGAAGAGTAATCAGCTTATGGAATCAAAGTGATAATAATAGTATAAAATTTAACTCTCACAAACAATTCTAGGAGTGTTTTATTAGTAACTATTTCTTGTATCTACATTTATTTGTCCTGACTTAAAACTTTAATAAAACAAGGTTGAGTTACCGTTTTAAAAAAAAAAAAAAAAAAAACATAATTTTTATTAAAATATTAAATAAATATTTATAAAGTTATAAAAAAAAAAAACACTTTCCACTGATCCATTTTTTCTTTAAAAATTTTCTTTTTAGGCAATTTTCTCGAAAAAGAAAAGCCAGTTTAATATACTTTACCTCTCAAGAATCTGAGACTTAACAATATACTACAATATTCAGTTACTTTTCCAAAGATTACTCTATTAATTAAGAGAAGTATAGACAACATAACATCATCTTAGCTCTACTTTACTTTATTTTATAAGAAAAGGAAAACACATCTACAAGCTAATTCACTGTAAGCTTAGAAGAGTCCAATAGAAACTTTCCAAGCTTCTAGTCAGATTAGTATTAGTTTACATCTTTCTAAGTACCAGAAGGAACTTCATTAACAATAGTTTTTACTGATAAATTAAGAAAAACTCAAAGTTCATAAAGTCCAGAAGGACATCAAAAGCTCTCAAAAACTAAACAGTAGGATATCTTGATTCTATACATACCTGTCTAA